TGATCTGGACTTCCAGGGCAGTGACCTTAGGTTTTGGCCTGTCCTATTACGACCGGAGGACGTGTGGCAACCAATTGTAATACGTCGTCACGTTTGTTTATTAAACTACAAACATTTTTGAAGGCTGTTCGCAGGCCGCGATAGGAACCGACAGATGCGCATGAAGCGTCATCTATTTGTTTATCCGAGTTCAGTGGACCTGGGGAACTACCCGAATATTTAAAATGCGGAGATTGGTTTCTTTACTATTAGTCCGCGGCTTCAAATCCACGATAGCGGACTTCAATTTCGCTCTGTCCGACATATCTACATGGGGACGAATATGGAGCTTTAGGCTTCTTAGCCTACCGAGGCAGCAATCTTACCAACACGTACCTCTTGGGGTAGTACGTTTTACGGCGCGTGACCACAGAAAGAGACTTAGGTGTCATTGTGCAATAAAGTCTGGGGGATTCGCTCCAATGTTCGAAAGCAGCAAACGTGGCGAACATGAAACTGAGAGTTTCGAGGCGAGCTTTTGGTGTTTTTGAACGACGGTTGGTACCCATGCTTGTCAACTCCTATATCCGTGCCCACGTCGAATATGCCGTCCAGGCTTGTTGCCAATGTTTAAAACGGGATATTCATCTCTTAGAGCAGCCCCAACGAAGAGCTACGAAGGCAACACGCGGATTATCTGGTCTCAATTATGAAGTGCGTCTCAGTTTAATCGGAATGTTTTTCTCCGAATACCGACGAATACCCGGAGACCTCATTCTCGCATACCGGATATTAACGGAAAGAGATCACCCTTGCAAATCGCTGTTCACCCTAGCCTCATATAAGCGATCGAGAGGTCATAACCTCAAGCTGATAATCCAACACCCGATTAGACTGTAGAAAATATTTTTACTCTCTTAGAATCTGTTCACAATGGAATGACTTGCCAACGCATGTGGTAAACGCTCCGAACATTACAGCCTTCAAACAATTGTTAGACATTCATCTGAGTGGCAAACAACACATTGTGTTGTGATGTACTAAGTTTAGACTACTGGCATTTCAGTTCCATGTCGGAATCTAATGATTTTTATCTATTTTGCATTTACCATCCTATGGGTCTTGCAAAGCCAATGCTTTTTATCCCATCATACACTATTTAACTATTGAACTATTGAGGCGGGATGTTACCAGCCTCGGACTTGTTGCATCAACAAAGATGACTCAAAGAGGTCGACATTTCCCCTCCTCTCGCTTTCCAAGACGGAGGATTTGCTTCACCCGTCACCCTTGTTTATTCACTTTGAGAAGCCTATCATTCAGGCTCTACAGAAAATCCATGTCGTGATCCTAAGGAGCCCGAGGCCTGGCATCTGTTGACTCAGGCACGTGAAAAATCATAAGGTCACAGAGCCGCTGATTGCTGACAGTTTTCTTCTCCTTTTTGCTTCGCTGCATTCACCAATGGCATTTAACGCCTGCGCTCTGACACACTGGTATTTTTGGTGTCTGTACGACGCAATATAGGCACGCTAGCTGAGTCTCCAGCAACGGGTAGAAATCGCTCTGGAGAGCTTACAGCCGGTTGGCAATTTGGCTCGTTCGAACATAAAGGTGGCTGGGTTTCCGCTTGCTTGGATGAATCCACGGAGCTCCTCCCTATGGAACGGTTCACCCGTCTTGTAGGTTCGAGCTGCTTCTCGGCTGTATGTGACTGCAAGGTATCTTGGTATTTTTGCATATTATTTGAACAAAATTATGCTGGATGCTGCAGTAGTTTAAAATATCTGAGGCAAACCCAATACAGGAAATGTGGAAATTTACACCGCACATGAGGCATGTAACAGCATTGGCTCCATGCCTACGTATTTTGCAAGGTACCACAAGAAGTCAGCTTTGACTTTACCGATAGCTTAGCAGATGTGGCGGTAAAGGTGATAAAGTGCACGGTAAGTGTACGACAAAAGTACAAGAGTAAAATATACCGACACGAAACTAGTACACAATGCCGAAATTCAAAATCGCAAAAGAAACTGAATTTGACACAAATAAAAATGAAAATCTGCTCTACAAAAATAACGAACGATGCAAACTGGCCTGTCAAATAGAGCGAGAAAAGCCTTCCGGAGTGTTCTATTTGCATCAACCTAACCAATTCCCATGGCGAATGTCATCATGTATTCATAATATTGAATGCAAGTAAGCGAAATTGGCCTACCCGCAACCCGACCTCAATAGCTATACAACGGACACCCACAAAAGGTATTCAGTAAGTGAAATGGTTTCACCCAAGTTGATGCAACTAAAAAGCATAGTACACACAGAGAAATTCGGACGGTGGGTATATTAACGACTTGACAAACAAAATAACATCTTGAAATTCCAAAACGCACGAGTGCTGCACTAGAAAAGTTCTAGCCAAAAAGCAACTGTCGGACCTCGACATTGCACACAAACATTCTCAACTAATCTTAGCAGTATTCCGCGGTTAAACGTGAGCGTGCTTTTAATGTCTAAACTGCAAACTGCCTAAGTATCTGATCTACACAATCACAACGGCCCTATCGTAGAATTATGTATCCTAACGTGCACAGCCAGGCAGATCTCATGCTTTTCCCTTATATGGTTAGACCTCTGGCAGCCCACACTGGCCTCGCTGAGACGCGATGTGTCTTCTCATTGAGGTGATCACCGGGGTGACACAACAACAAATATAAGCGAACCGATCCAGCATTTTAATTGGCTGCTCGGTAATTGCTTAACGAGTGACGTGTTGGTCAAACCTTGCAACAATACACTTTAAATGCGCCAAGCGCAAGTCGATGCCTCCAGGGCTACTCATCAGCCTGTCCAGTGGTGTTTGCATAACCACTGCGACACACCAGAGAAGAGACATGTCTTCCGCATAAACAGGGTTTGTTGGTTAGTTACCAAGCACAGCATTCACTTCGGAAATGCTAGGTATTACAAGGTCACACATAATAATATTAGTCATAAATTTCAAAAGTGAAGGAGATAAAGGGCAAAAGCGGTAATCTCAATATTTCATGTGGAAAGCAAGATAAAGGCTTCCGTAGGCTCTTACTTAATCTCGTAAAGTATGGTGAAGACTCCTCAGAATGGAAAGAAGTTTATCTGGCATCTCCTTCATAGATGGATATTGTTACAATCTGGTTTGGTAGAAGCATTCAATGATAGATTCTTAATCAAGGAAGTCGAAGAGTCGAGCAATTCTACGAAAAGTGGATGCATTAAACTAACTGGAATTCGTACTTATGGTTAAGCGAGGATGCTTCACAACGATAGAAACAGACCAACAATCTTCTTGCGCCAAACTGATCGGCGGACATGACCTACGAATTTCAAGGGATTCCTTCTCATTTGCTCCAAGGCCTTGTTGCTGCGACGCTAAATACGCTTACAAACTGGCTGCCAAGCTACGTTTATATCGATCTTAGGAGCTCGGAAAAGACCACTTTCGTTCCTCGCGACCTAAAGCGTTGTCTACACGTTAATATTCTCATTGACACCCTCCGTAGACCACTATGGCGCATATGCTAGTTAGTAAGTAAAGTATTTTCTCTCAAGAAACAGATATTCATTATCGAACGCCACAACGAACGCAAAGCTGTTAGCATTTATTGTTTCGACATAGCTTATTATTATTCCGACGTCATCAGTGCATTCGCTTATAACCAAACCAGACGGCACATCATCCGACTCTCCACAGGCTCCGCGAAACCGGTGCAGTTCCAAACTTGACCGCGTCCAGTGCTGAAGCTTAAGTGTTGGCTAATCTCTATAGAGCCGTTTATTCCTGCCAAACACGTGAGACTGATGTACTTTGCTTTTTCTCTGCAATCTCATATTCCTTTTCGTCAAAAGATCGAAAAGCACAGCAAACTTTTTGATGACTGAAGAACAGAAATCCAATAAATTCGCAAGGACACTTCCCGTTTTAATCCGCTATCGTATTATGAAATTTTCATTCTGTTCATTTGCTCGGGTCAAGTGCTCGGGTTTAAGATTTCGCAATTTACCTTATTTTTACACCGTTGGACGATCAAACAGTACCGAACATTAGGTGGTATATCATTGTATGTTCTAACTTTATTTCTATTCACCTTGTTTGGCAGGCACATTGATTACATTTTGGGTGTTTGTTATAGTCAAATCGCACTACTACGTCCCTGAGACGGCATCAAATTTCATCGCCTGGACTAGCGGAGTGCTGACCGTGGGTTATCGAACCACAACTATACTGAAGAGTCACACGGCTCTCCTCTAGGAGGAAACTGGGCAAATTATTATAGACCTCCTAGCACAACCGTAATATGCTAAGTATTTCAAACTTTTGGTATGTTTTGCCACTGTTAGTAAGCCCCTTTTTGTTGAATAGGAACAAACTTTTTAAAGCATACAGGCCATCGGAGATAAACTAAACGCTGCTTCTTATCTTTCCATAAGCATATTCATCACGGGTGTATTTTAAATCTAGCGACATTGTGACTTGCATGCATAGTAATTGGCACAACCAGTTTTATGTCTATTTTTAATCTTCAAACCTTGTTTGGTTGTGCTTATATATAGTAAATCGTCTATCACTATGTGACCGTACAAACAGGTTTTCAGTGGTTACTAGTGATAGGCATCCTGTAAAACCAATCAAATATGGTCATCATTCTCTATTCTTCGTCAGCTACATGAAGGAGCCACGTGATTTCACTAACGGGAAGCTAGTTCGAAGTAAAAGAAGAAAAAATCCCGGTATGCCCTCCATTTTTCGCATTCAATATAAAGTTTACATACTATGAAATGGTCGTGTATAGCCAACGTTAATAACTTGTATTTCACTTTTTATGTGGTGTTTGAACATTCACACTCTAGGAAGCATAACTAAGAAGGATCTCATAATGATTAAACGGTGTATGATTAATCAAAGTAAAAGATTATACTAAATATGTTCAAAAAACAAAATGGGCTTTATTCACTGCGGATAGCCTCAGTCAACTACCAGCGTATTAATCGCATAATCTGTGAAATTAAGGAAAATATAAAAAAGAAAAGAGGGTTACCGCGTCTCGTGATGTTGTAGTATAAAACAAAGAAGAGTAAAACGCACTTTGAAACATGCAGCTATTATTGTGAGCTGATTCTATGTTATGTAGGACATACCTCTGCGAGAACCAAAACATATACCTAAACAGTTTTCTATGCCTATAATACGCAAACGGAAGTTTTGTAATTGGCACAGGTGGATTAACGAGGTAGACTCTTTGAGCGTTGACTGCGTTTGTTTTAACCATTGATGCATGCTGTGGAGCACAGAAATCGATGCAGAGGCGGACAGCTATATTGGGTAAACGCAACCATGCACTTATGCCTTTCATACCTAGATCAAACCAGTTTATTAATTTCTAAGGTGGACCATGCTTATTATATTTTTACTCAGGCTATCATGTTATATGAAATCGTTTACGGATGGTTGGCCAAAAGCGTCGATTTCACAACTACATACAAGCTTCTAACTTATCCGTTATATCTGTCAGAGAGTATAAGCTACTAGTTTACTGTATCATCAAAGCGGAAACGTTTAGAAGTTAGTTATGCTAAATTTACAGATTACAGTTTTAAAACTCGGCTATTTGACAATAAGCAAATTCACTTCAACATCTTGAGTTACACCTTCCTGCATATTTTACGGATTACTGGCCTTTACGTTCGTGAATATAAGCCAGCAAAATGTAATTATCCTGCTTATTATCTCCCTAGTGTACATGGAACTGCCAACAGCCTATGATGTATTGAAACAAGCATTATATGTCTTATTTACTAATTTGTCGATTCCGTGATGATGGCTCATTATTTTTAACCCAGCGTATGTCTTCTTTATTTGACCTCGTTTATCTATCCTTATAATTTATTCGGTAGATTTTTGACTCATATTCAGCTGCTTATATAATTATGGTTGATAGATTGCATACGCAAATTTTACTCAAACCCTTACCGGAATAATATTCTTGCCAATAATAAGCATTAACCCAAATGCGGACATAAACGTGTTATTTCTACGCTATTAACCCACTATAGTATACACAGAAGACCTAGCAAAATTGGTACAATCAGCAGCATCCTTAAACGTGCACAAGACGTTGAAACTATGCCACTATGAGCATGAAGGCCTTTCGGAAAGAAATGAATAATGGATCTCAGCCAATATAGAATATTTTGGTTTTAGGTTTGTAATTGTTAACCAATGTTTCATTAGTATGTGTCACGAATCAATATCTTTCATCATTCCTATCACAGGAAACACAAAAACATCTTACTGTCTATCTCAGCCATTCCCAACGTGCATATAAATCACGTTTATAGACAAAAGTTCATTATGCTCAGGAGTAGAGACTGGCAGTTCATATTTTCCGAATGGTATTATGTGAATTTTCAAAGGCTAACGGATAGTTAGATACTTTGAACACCTACTCTTGTCTCTCGTGAAGAAGGTATACTACATAAAGCACAAAATACGCTTACTTGTATGCATTCACATGTACCGCTCCAACTGTGTTTTCCGGATCATCCGGCCATTCCAGATAAAGTGTGGTAATGCAACCATCATCGTCTATGTAGGTGACCGTCTTGCCTCCAGTCTGATCATATCTCCTACCGTCAAACTCGATAAACGGCTTACCTAAATGCAATTTGGTTAACATATATTCGTCTTGAAAATTTACCGTTTTCATCATACTGTATCTCCACAACACGCCTGAAAGCATTGATAATGCAAATCAGTGTAAGGCACACAAGGAAAACGCAAACGGAGCCCATTTAAAATTTATTATTTCTAAAAGATAAGAGAGAAAAATTGAGTATATCAAACTGTACTGATGAAATTATAGCTGAGTCTACACATCTAAAGCTATCGTTTCAGCACTCTATGCGTGTAAAGGCAACCGACGAATAAATATAACATTGCAAATACATTAGGATAATTATATCTTTCGACATTGAATATATGTGGTCTTTTCTGATAAACGTTTTGAGAAGTTTAAGAAATAATTAAATACCCAAGTACCTCCTCCGACAAAAACAATTGGCGGCCGACGTTTTTGGCATGCCTGTTATGATATTATATACCTCAAAAAATTCGGTCGTTAATATTTATGCCCGACATTGCGCTAGCAACCATAGCTTTTGTTTAAGCTAATGTCATGCGCCTTCAATTTTTAGACAACTGATAAGTTGAGGCTAGCATTAACAACGAATGCCATAGACTTTGCGGGCAACAAAACAGGCGACCAACTCGGTGCTAATTTCGCATTCACTCGTTAGGGTTTAGGACGAAATTGTGAATGGGCTTGACCATAATTATCTTCCAATTCATTCCAGCCGTTGTTACATCTTATGCAGTCCCAAACAACTTGTTTCTATAAAAAAAAATTAGAATTCAATCATATACTCAGCATGCTGAGCATTGCGTTGTCTAATTTATGTATATCTCTTATATTAACAGCTAGGGCTTGATGAAAATACATCAGTTACCCAGCAGAGCGTCGGACATAATGACGATGGAACACATAATGGACGGTCGAAACATAGTTAACTAACAAAGTTCACAACGCAGTGTGATTTTTGGTCACCCTTAGTTCGTTTGATCCATGAACAATCAAGGCCCTCTACCGCGTTACCCGGCCTCCATTACCAATAAATCACGCTTACCGAACATACGTTTTAGAAAAGGCCAACCACATTGGAAGAAACATCCTTATAGTCTAATCAGACTGAGCCTCGGCCTTTCTTTTAACAGGAAGTTTTCACGTACACGCGGATCATGTGGTACATACCCTTTGAATTATTAAATATGAGTACCAATTATATCGATTAGATTTAGCATTAATGTTCTAAGGGATTCCTTAACACCAAGTTACCTAGGATGCTAAAGTCAAAATGCAATAACTCGACCCCTGTGGCCTTCTGTGAAGGGCGTTCTTAATATTTGACGCTTACATATTTTGCACAGTATTTAGCAGGTAAGTGAAATACGCTATCTTAGCCTAACGACAATTGCAGTAGCAACATTCCAGTGTGTTCGAAGCAACAAACCGCGAAGCTGAAACCAATATGAAAGTTTATCACTTCTATATCAACTTCGACCAAACATGTCAGTTATTTCAGCCAACTCAGTGCATCAGATTTTGGAAATACGCTGAAAATCACGCCAGTACCTAATGAAACAGACAAAACACTTCCCTTAGAGGCATGAGTTAGCCATGCAGTACGGCGGTCTAGGAAGCCAATGCCGTGCGTTGCAGTCATTGAGCTTGCATGCATTGCTTGCTTTATTAGTTATTCAGTTTGCCACTATTTAAAAGACAAAGTTATGAAACATGAAAGCGCATTTGTGTGGTGCCTTTGCGTTAACCTCACTATATTCATTAGCCAAAATTATCCTCGTCCCACGGTAAATTCCAAGCCCCGTCTTTGAAAAGCAGACTACCGCCCATGGGCAACACTAGCTGTTGTCATCAGCTACATATAGCGGAATGGCGGTCGCTTGGTAGTAAGCTAATGAGACCTGAGGCTGCAAGTCTGCGAACCAGATGACATCATTGTTTTCGAAGGATTGTATTAAGAAATAAAAAAACTAGTGAAGGACTGGGATGCACAGCGACAAACGTCATGACACAGTGTATGAATCCAGACAAGTAGTCGTTTTTAGTTTTGTACATAAACTTGGATCACACTCGGCTATTCTCGAATACGTTTGTGTTTGAGAAACACAAGAAAATTGGAAAGTAAAGATCCCGCGTGTTAGGATGAAAAGCAAATATTAGCAAACTCTGTGTAAGCTACTGATATTTTAGTTGTTGTTTACCCTATCGGTCAGTAGGTAGGGTTGCGTCTGAGTAGATGATGGGTTGAGGGGAACAGAGGAATCCTGAGTGATTGGATCGGAAAATGCCTCCGCACAGTGAGCAACGGTGCGGTTGCCTCGGGTGAAGTAAGGGGTGGGTGTTCGTTACCTTATAAATGACTTTAGACACTGCTGCACTTCATAAGGTTTTCATCCCTGCAGTTCGGAAGCTACAAAGCACAAGATAATAGGGAAAAGCACCAGACGCGTTTCGCCCTATTGGGACTCTTCAATGGTACGTATTCCCTCGGTTCCCTACTGGGGATCGAAACCATGACCGACAGAGACAGATGCCAACTAGCCAGCAGTTTGAGCCACTAAGCCATGGGGGACGTTTGTTGATCTTCATGATTTGCAAGTTAACTGGGATGTAGCAACGCCTATCTTCCACTGTCACTGACAGTGGCTAGCCTGCTGCTGCTCTTTAACAATTCATGTGCTTCGAACTTCGCCGAAAAACCTTGTGGGTGCCATGGTTAGAAGTTTAAAGGTTACGAAGAAGTATGTCAGTGCGAAAGAAAACATGACTTTAGGTTGGGAGCTTTGTGCGCTTCCATATCTCTGGTCTGCCAACGAAGGTGAATCGGATGTAGCAAAAGGATGTAGAGAGAAAAGAGGACACAAAACTACACAGTAGCATGCACAGTGCTATAAGATGCAAGTTTAACTCTCCTTGTAGATTATGTGTTGAACATCAGTACAGATCTACTAATGCGTGTTGCAGACCTGGTTTGATATAACTATGAATATCAGTTTACATTTAGTAGGGTATTATGTGGCACAGCGCGAGGATTTAATCTGTCCATGGAATATTTTGACTAACTATTATCTGCTATATTGTATACCGTTGTGTAAATACGATGACATCTTAAGAAAATACGAAACGCATTGAACTACGAGCATTCAGCAGTCTTCCCATGGTCATTTGAAGTGATGGAGAGTCATTTGTATTGTCGCGCTCGGTGTTTCAAGAAACGCCGATGACAGTATAGGCCGTGCAGTCTGGTATAATAATGGTCTCTGATGATTCACTGAAGCAGTGGACACATGTACCTAGGTATGCGAATCTACAACATAGTTACTGACTTACTAAATGTAACTGTACGTGTAAGAACCAAGAATCCGGGGTTTGGAAAGTGTCGGGAATAATGTGGGTGCGCTTATAAACGGTCAACAATTATATATCAGGTGTAAAATAGCAGGTGCGTGACAAGTCTCGTAGAATGGTTGGAGTGTAAATTAGTATCAAGGAATTAAATAACAAGTGAATAACCAGTTCCAGCGTCTACCGATTAAACTTCATTCACGTATAACTACACTTTTTAATGGAAATAGAAGGTGTACACAGTGAGTAGTACGGGGAGCAGTTATAGCTCCGTTCTTCATGAGAAAACAAAATGAAAATGGAAAATGACAAGTGGCGGTCGTGTGCTGCTTCACCAACCCCGTTCTGACAAGCAAATTTAGTTTGGTTACGTTAAAGCTATCCACATGATCAATGATGCAGATTTTCTGACTCCTATGTTGCCAGGAGGACTGTTGAGCACACAGTTTAATGTGCGTTATTCCTCCTCAAATAAAACGGAATATATCAGCATTACAGTAGCGATAAACATTAGGTGAGTTGGTGGGGCGTTAAATATTCGGGACATGCAAAAGGAGAAACATTTAGTAGACGATGAATTTGACGCTAGCGTGTAGCAGGTTTGAGTTAGTATCCTCTAGTTTTGCTCGGTAGCAACAGGTTGCGACATATTTAAACTGGGTTCGACAGTATTAACTAAACAATGATAATGTATCCTAGCAGACGTTTATATTAAATACTGTGCCATCTCAGAACCTACAATCTGGTTTGGTAAGAGAAGTAAAACAGCCACCTGACTAGTTTGTTCGCTCTTCGTTGTGGAGCTTCAAGTGCGTCTACGTGGCGCCTGCGCCAGTAACACTAGACTTGGAACGCAGTAATAACATTTGTGAGTCAACTTACGGACACCGTTGTTTGTGTTTGGCCAAAAGTAGGTGTTGTTTCAGTGATGCTCAAACGAAAGGAGGAACAAGTAAATGACCGATAAACAATAATGAGGGTCATATTTTTAAGACATACGTTGTTTAGATGAATTCTTCCCGAAAAAGGCAGAAGTATGGTCGGAGACAACCTATGAATGTGACAAAAAGGATGGTTTTGTTCTTGCTTAGGATGGAAATGAGTTCCAGTTTGTAGTGAAGCTGAATACGCGGCGTGTTACAAATCTTCATCTTGGACATGAGTCAATACCAATGCGGCAAGATTGATGGCAGCAAAGGAATTAAAAAAGTTCTTGACACAAAATAAGGAATCAGCATTCGGGGCGATGACAGTTTAAACATAAATTACGTCGGCAGGGAATCACGTAACAAAGTCCAAGCCCCAAGTTTCCCATGGTGATTATTTGTCAGAAGGTAAGTAAGTGAGAAAGATAAGCGTGTGTGATCGGTGTAGGATAATAACTATTATTTGTGTTGTAAGTGCGGGATAGCAATGTAAAAGGCAAGCAATTTCCCATCATTCTTGCTGTGGCATTCCTCCGCTGGTTGCAGGTGTCTGGAGAAGAATCCGAGAGCTTACTACCACTCACAGAAGTGTTGCTGGAGAGCAACACATACCACTACATCAGTTGTAAGAAGAATACCAAAAGGCGTTTCGGAGTGTGCGATCAGAGCTATGTCGAAGATATTATTCTTGAACTTGGTGAAGGTCATATATGCCGTATAAGGTAGAACGATCAGCTGAGCCTTCAACTTTGGCCGTGCTCAAAATGTTTGCTATCTAAGTAATTAATGACAAAAGCTTTCGACGATACACCCTAAATAGCCATTGTTTTACTAATCCACAATCCTTTCTTCCACTCAGTATCATGATAACCTATACCCACGA